GAAAATGAATTGTTCCCCCTCTGCCATGTTGGTATTTTTATGGCTTACAGTAGAAATCACTGGGGTGATGAAGTTTTGAAAAACATCTTTGCTCCCTGTGTGTACTGGTGTGGTTTAGTGCTTAGCCCTGAGTCACAGGAACCAGCTTCTGCCTCCAGCTGTGTCACTACTGTGTGGTGTGACCTTGGCACTGGTTGTAAGCTGACTGTGCAGGCATTGCATCTTCTTGATTAATAGCCTTGTTCAGAGTTATATGCCCTTGGTTCAACAGCACAAATAAGTCTTTATTACCTCGGTAGCAGCGTGGAGTCCTGGCTCAGAAAAGGAGCACAATCCATTCCTGGCTTGGGAACCATCAGCACAATTAATTCTATTTGGATTGCACCGTAAAAGTTGCCAGTAAGGCAGAGACGCTGAGGCCTACAAACATTGCATGAGTTTAATTAAGAGAATGATTTGAAGCAGCTTTGGGTACGGATACTTATTACTTCTCAATTGGTTCCTCTCACTTCCTCTGTAATGAAATGTCAATGAACTCAAACAAAATGAGCTTTCATTCTCTGTGGCAGAAAGCTCCCAAAGGTGGCTGCTTCTGGAGACTGTTTTAGTAGTGTGTGAAATAAAGGTGAAAGGGGGGAAATTTCTGCCTTTCTGGCTGTTCACAGGGTGGAGAATGCAAGTGTGGTCTGTGCAATAGTGAGCCTCCACCATCTATGCAGAGGATGGCTGTGCCCCAGCAGCACTTCCAGGTACTGCTTCGGTGTCCAAAGGGACTCCCCTTTGGAGCCTGTAGCTAAAAGTGGCTGGCCCTTTGTTGGGTTGGGGTGAGTAAGCTCAGCGTTTTGCAGGACGAGGCCCTGGCTTTTGATGTGTTTCAGTGTGTTGGAAGGAGTGCTGTGGGTATTCTCTTGGCCTCCACATTAAGCTCTCAGATTTTCCCAGAGAACTGGGCAGAGCGGAATACAGTCAGAGAAAGGGAGCAATTAATTAAGCGGCTCTGTGCCTTCTTGTGGTGTCGACCCCGGCAGTGCCTGTGAACTGCATAAATGCACTCGGGCTTGCTGTCCAGAGCTCTGATCTGGGCAAAGCTGACTGCAAAAGGACTCGTTTCAAAGCCTCTCTTGTATTCTTTGGTAGCACGTACAAGGACAGCATTACAGACATCACTGCTCTGCCTGTAATGGCTCAGGAAAAAGGCTCAACAGATTAGTGGGCTTTTTTTTCCTCTCCTGTGTGTATGCTTTTGTTGGAGATGAGGAATTAGCACTACTGATTTTTTTTTTTTTTTTTTTTTTAAAGACTCTTTGAGTGCCCACAACCCGAACCGACCTAGGCACTTTTGGAGACTTATACAGAATTTTCAAGATATTTTTAAATGCTGGAAGTCTTACAGAGGTCTGGGAATGCTAAATGATTGATTATTTGCATCATAGAGCATAGGAGTCACGGCCCTGCACTGAGGCTCCATTGTGCTAGGTGCTGAATGCACACAAGACAAAATTACTGGTTTGCTCTCTGTACCATGAAATCGGAGCACAGTCAACTCCCATCCCTCTTTTCTGATGTAGCTGTACAAACTCAGTGTGATATAGCAGTGTATGAAATCACAGATATGTTTTTTATTGCAGATGAAGTACAAATAAAGGCTTGGTTTGCTTAGTGGGCATTTGCTTAATATCTTAAATGGTAGGGCACAGTAAACAGTATATAAATGTCTGGATGGAAAATAATTGTTCACACACAGAGCTGATAACAGTGACTATATGTGTTTTTAGCTGTGTTTCTCTGTTATGTCCAGGCCTCTGGTCAGTGCTGCATTGCTGTTACCAGATGACTTGCATTTACTGTGCTCCTTTGATCGCTTTGCCAGTGTGACATCTGCTTAGTTTCCTTTTGCCAGGGTCCCAGGATCCTGGTGAAGTTCTCACAGTTGCTCGTATCTGTCTTTTCCCTTTACAGTTACCCTGAGAAGTGAATGATTCCTCCCCGCCCTGCAGATGGGGGTTTGATGGGGAGAGGGGCTCAGGGGTGAGTGGTGTTTTTTCCCTTTTTTCAAGGGTCAGACAAATTCAGCCCCACACCAGTGACGTTGGGTTCTACAGGCTATCACAGAGCCTTTAGACTTATCCACCTTGGGCTAGTCTGAGAGTTGCAGTGCTAATGGTTTGTTCTGTAAACAGAGGTGGCTCCCTGTGTACAAGTGCCTAGAGCTGAGGAGACAGAAATTGGTTCCTGTGGGGGCTGTTCTGCACTTGCTTTTCCCAGAAGCTGTCTTGGGCACAGAGAGGCTTTATTCTTCTTGCAGGACAAAACTGATCTCTGACTATGAAGTGTTTGACCATGGCTGACATCTTGAAGCAATAAGAGGGTGGGTTTATTTTTGATTGCTTTTAGGTATCTTGAAGTCAGCAGGCCCCTTGAAAGATGAGTAACTAGTCATCATGCTTGGGCTGCTGATCAGTAGGAAAAAAGTGCAATTCAAAGTGCTCTTAATAGCCTGCGTTGCTGGAGATTGTCCTGCCACAGTAACCTACAGTAACTGAAGTGCCAGTGCCTGTGCATGGACAGCTGCTGAGAAATGTCTCTCCCTGAAGCCAGGCTGTTGCTCTGTGGGAAAGGATCTCATGCTAGCCAGCTAGTGTCACACTTTAATTTTCAGTGTTACTTTGAGGCCTTCATGTCAGCGAGACATTAGAGATCTGCTCATCAAATTGAGCAGACCTGAATGAGTCTTGAGCATTTACAAGCTTTTCACAATATTTTCATCTTGCGTCTGATCCTGGCTCAGTCACAAGCTGAACTTGTGACTAAACTAATTTATTTAGGAAAAAATCTTTCTTTAACTGAAAGAACTCAAATTGAAATATTTTAGTAAAAGCCTGAAACGTGCAGGGTGCAGGTAGAGCAAGAACCTGCCTCTAACCCCTGTTTTCTACTGTAGGCCGACCTCCACAACCTGGCAAACAAAAGCTTTTGACCAGTTCTGCCTTAAACATAAAATGATTTTGACTTAGTGACTCACTGCTTTGTATTTGTTGTTTGTATTGCTATAGCAGTTGAGTCTCTTAAACTTTGGATCCAAGACCTTGTTGTGCCAGGTGCTGTTAGGAGCATGGGGAAAAAAACAAACCAAAAAGGCCATGTGAAGAAAAACATGAATTTCTGTGTAACCCAAGACAACAGGTGGCTACAGATGGGGGATTACAAGGAACTGATGATATAATAGTGAATGACCTGTGCAGTGAGTAATAGTCTTGGTACATCACTTATCTAAACATTGCTGAGGTTTTGTAGAGGCTACAGCAAAGGGCAGTTTGAAGGAGGATGATGGAGTGACAGAAGTTTACAGTAACATCTCAGCAAGTGAGAAAGGCAGCAGAGGAAAAAGTAGCATGCTGAAAATATGCATGAAAATAGTGCTTGAAGGAAGATGTTTGCTGCAGAATTCGTTGGTTGTAGATGCTGTAGTCATATATGAGAGAGTGCAGGTACAAGAGCAAAGTGGAAACAGTATGGGTTTTGGTGGAGGGCAAACAGAGCCATGGGGAAAAGAAACCTACAGGCAGGCTATGTATTTATAGTCTTGACCTGAAACTTTCTTCTGGTGTGTTTACTACTAGCAACTCAAGGAAAAAGAAAGTGCTCTTTTCTTTGGATTGTAACCTTTAACCAACATGTGACATGAGGGAACAGATGAGTGAAGCAGAATGTGTGTGTTCCTTTATTTGAAGCACAGATGTCTCCATAAGGGGCAAAGGAAAAATGCTGCTTTTTGTGGTGTTGTTTATTTAAACTTCGGTTTAACAAAATTAGCCTGTTCAGAAACTTCAGTGAACGTCCTTTTTAAGTTGAAAGCTTGCAGAGCAAGATGCAAGTCAAATGCCAGCCCCAGCAATTAGCATGCATCCTTTCATGAGTGTCAAACTGTGCTTAATCTCTACTGATTGGATTCTTTTTCTCCTACACGCTGTCTGCAGCTGAAAATAACATCAAGTTAAAGATGTACCGAAGATAGCAGCTGCCCAGTTCATGGTTCTTCTGAAGCAGCTTACTCTCTTCCCCAATCATGGTATTCTTCCCATGCAGGATGAGGGGAAACACAGATGTCATGACATGTATTTGGGAAGCTCTCACTGGCTTGAGGGTGTCCAGGAGCTCAAGTGCTCATAGATCACAGTGTAAAAAAGGTATTGCTTGGAGTGCAGCTTCCCACATAAAATCAAAACTTGTAAAGGTATGTTCATGTTTGATAGGCAGGTTTCCCAAGAAGGAAGTGGAAACACAGCATGACATGACTGCAGAACGAGAGAGGATGTATTTAAATAGAATCCCCAGAAGGTGGCTGGAAGAGAAGTGGCTTCATAATAGGAAATGCGTTGGTTGCTTCAGCATTAAACGCTCTCCCAGATGTGTTCTCTGCAGCAGGGACTCCTTTCAGCTGAACCATTTTTAGCAGTGTGGAAGAGCCCGGTTCTTTATCTCCATGGCTCTCTGAGCAATGAACTTCTGCCTTGCCACTAGAGGGGGACTTCAGCCCACACACCTCCCGTTCTGCTGGGGCCCTCTCTACTCTGCTGAGCACTAGGGTATCACAGCGCCTGTGAAGGTCAGGCATTGCAGCCAAAGAAATGTAAAGGCACGTGGATGAGCATAGCATGATTGGTATAGTATCCACATGCTTCTCTAGGTATCCAGTTATGCAGAATGTTGGGTTTCATTCCCACACAGTTACAAAAAGTGTCCTGAGCATGACATTGAGACAGCTGAATACTGTGTGTGTGTGTGTGTGCAATGTCTCTGAGTCACAAGATGTGAATAACCCCTCTCCATGCCTGGATGAAGGAGCGTAACCAGCAGCTTATTCAGCAGTACCATTAAACTGGTCAAAGATGAAATGGAAACATGATTGTTTCTAGATGCTGGGAGAAAAGTGAGGGCTTTAGGTGTAACAGACCAGTTGTGTGCTGCACCTGACCTGCCTGTTCCTTGCTGCCTTGCAGGGCTTTTACTCACGTGTTCACCTTTGGCCCGACGTTCCGAGCAGAAAACTCGCAGAGTCGCCGGCACCTGGCAGAGTTCTACATGGTAGAGGCTGAGCTGTCCTTCACTGAAAGCCTTCAGGACATCATGCAGGTGGGCATTCCAGATGTCTATGCAGGACTGGTACCAGAGTTTATTCCTCCTCCCTGAGCTGTGCTCCCTGCCCTCAGCTGAGGTCACAGCTCCTCTCACCCTGTGTGAGCCAAGTAGAGGTTGCACAGGTGTTTCCCAAGGAGGAGGGTTTGCTCAGCAGAGATGAGGCCATAGAGGGGATTTGGAAGGGAAGACAGAGGTGCACACAGCCCTCATCTGAATGGGAAGCTCCACAGTTGCTATATTACCAGGGAATGTAAATGTGCTTGACGAGTGCTAATGAGTGGCACTCTCCCTTTCAAAATGTTCAGCACCCTTCCACCCAGTGAGCAGTGTTTAAGCAGGGTGTCCCTTTGGTGTGCTCTGTAAAGGCGTCCTTGAAATCTGCATTGGAATCTGAAGGAGAAACAACAGTTTCCGGCATACGCTGTTCACTGTGGCTTTAGCAGAAGACTGGAGGAAATCCTTAGTCAGCTTGCTTTTGATTTTTCAGGACTGACCTTTCAGTTGCAGTTTACCCACATGATAGATGCCTATGCACTTTACTAGTCTCAGCATAAGCTAGCTTATACCCAGTAGGACTTGTGAGTAAACATACACGCACACTCTCATTTATCAGATAAGCTCTGTGAAAAATGATTGGGAAAATAACCTTATAAAGAAAAATACCTGAGGCACTGGCTGCAGACTTATAAAATAACACCCAGGTGGTGGTTTCTTCAGCATGGGTCATATACAATGCTGAATCAGCATAGCCTGAGAGCAGAGCTGGCAGGCTCTGTGTGCTGCTTCTGAATTTGAGATGCCTGGATGGCACTGGGCTGTGTGGACTGACCCATTGGGAGTCTGTGGTCCATCATGAATAGCATCCTGTTATTTTGTCTCTCCTCCACAGCTTTGTGTATTCTTAGAGCACAGCCTGTGTATATGTACACACCTTAATTCCTGAGCCCCCTGTTTCTCTAGGTAATCAGGAGTCAATTGAAAGCTTCACTACTTTTATCTAGTATAATAAGCAGGGTCTTCTGTTAAGTGGTGTTTGAGCCCTTCAACACAGAATCAACGGATCTTGTGCAGAAAACCCTAATTTCCTGGCTTTTGAAGTACAGACAGCCAGTTCAGATAATTCAGAGAATTAGATTTGAGAACTGTTCTGGAATTTGTAGGGTTTTTATGTTTAAGGAAAGGAGGAACTATCCCTCTCAATTTTGCCTTTGTTGTTGCTAAGTATCTTGTGAAGTCTCAGCTTGTGCTCTCTTTTAAATCTTCCCTCTGTCTCAAACTCCTTGACAAGCACCTTTCCCTGCAACAGAAAGTCTCTTAGCAGCCATTATTTTGCATTCCTCATAGTGAGTTTGTATTGCAACAGGCTTAATTTTGTGGTGTTCTTACTTGGGGAAGTGGAGTTCCCATTTTGTTTATTTTTAAATAATTGGGCAATCTCTCTTTCAACAAAACAAAACTAATCAACAGAAAGCCCTCCTGGTTGCTCTAAAGCCTAAGTGTCTTTCCTGGTGTAACTGACCTAAATTGAGTCTTCTCTTATGTATCTGCCTATTGGGTATGTTGTCTGTTTGTTGTCATCTGCAAGTTCTTTATTCGGTGCAAAATGCCAAGTTGAAAGCCTTCGGGGCTCTTGGCCAGGGTTATTATCTGAACTTTGTCCTCACATAAGGAGCTGGATTGTTAAAAATTTATTTTTAAAATTGCTATTCAACATTTGGACTAAGTATCTCTCACTTGAGCAAGTTACTGTGCTGGGAAAGCTCAGCTTCTTCAGGGACATCTTGAAGTATTTGCTTATACACCATTAAAGAGCCTTGCTACAAAGATGTGCGTGTTTACCATTCACTGGTGAGGCTTGAGATCTTTCATCCAAAGCTCCAGAAGAAACACAGTTTTCATGATGAAATAAAAGGAAAAATGGGGATTTAATAACCAAGCTGCATGTATTTGGGAACAAAGGGCCTTAAGTCTTAGAGCAGTGGCCTTTTTTCCCCACTATAATTTCACAGAGTAGTGCTCAGTTATTCCTAAATTAGTAGCACCATTCTTCTGAAGTCTCATGTGTCTTAATCATGCAATCTAAATTTCTGTTGAGTGCCAAAATGTGTTTTAGTGCTACAAAGAAGCTTCAGCTCTCACAGTTCTGGTTTCACAGTGCTTTCTGTGGAAAGTCCCATGTGCTCAGTGCAGTACTTCAGGCTGCATGGCTGGGTGATAATATTTCTGCTTTAGTGTAGAGGGTGCATGTAAGGGTATCTAAGGAGGAACCTCTTTTTGTAAGTCAAGTTAAAAAGTTGGGCCAGGTTGCCCCCAAGGCACTTCTCCTTCAAAATGGATGAGAAAGAGAAGGATTTAGAAAAAGGTCAGGTAGATAGTAGAAGAGGTCCAGTTGTGGAAATGTCTGGACTCCCTAGAGCCATCGGCCCTCTCAGTACCTGAATTGGTGGTCCAAAGCCTCCAGTTTCATTTGTCCTTGAGATGCCTGTTATCACTCTCTCCCTCTCTGTTCAATGCTGTGTCATGTAGTTGTATTTGTAGGCCATTATCTTCTATTTTTCATTCCACTGTATCAGTAGTGCAGTATATTTAAAGGATCCCACTTCACTTGTGACTTTAATGGAGTCTCAAAGAGGCCATATGATACAGTCATTATTGAATTTCATCAAAAGCACATACAAAGCCATGCTAAAAAAGACATTATTTAGGCTGTAAAGTTAGGAAATGCAAGAAGGAAGTTTTCCTGAGGGCACTGTCAGGAGTTTATGCATAGTGTTTGTCTTCCTTAACAAGATTATATCCTAGCACTACTGTCTCTTTAAGGGATGGAGAATATATCTCTTTATGATGGAGTATACAATTTAACACTCAGTATTTGAGCTGTGTCCTGAGGGCAGGAGTATTGTCTTCCACTGGTTATGTACTTCATCAAAATTAATTTGCTGTCATTGCAGCTTAGTGACATGGAGCACTATTACCTCCATTTTACAGAGGGGAGTTCAGGCATGAAATGAAATCAGTAGCACTGATTTTGGGTGTCAGCTTTAGAGAACTTGGATCTAAAACATGTATGTGATTTGATTTCCAGACTAGTTTGCACTCAGCATTCTGTCTTCAGTACCAAGGCTGAGGCACTTGGGCAGGTCAGACTGCAGTCTTGAGGGAGCAGACTCTGGTAATCACATGGGAAGAGTTAGTTCTAAGAGTTTTACACAACACTCTTTAGGGACACTGGGGTATCTGCAGGACTGTAGGTTCCTTGTTTGAAGTGGCATCCAGCTGCCATAGCTCAGGCTAGTTCTCTTCCCTAACTTTTTATCAGCATTCAGCTTTAATGGCCAGTGGAGCAGGGTCTGGCAGACAAGTCTTTCCTTGCACAGCAACAGCATCTCTCCAGAATGGGGCCTGAGCTGTTGGTTGTGTTGCTGAGAGAGGAGATTTTATGACCAAGATCAGAATCCTCCCCTCTGTGTGTATGTGCACACATAGAGTGGGTGTGAGCAAGCATGGAGGCAACAAACTAGTGGTCCACTGGTGTTTCCTGTGTAAGTAGCCTGTGATCTACACTGCATCCATATGCATGGCCCAGGTAAATACATACATAAAAATCCTACTGGCAGGTCATGTGATTTTTCTTATGTAATTTTCTTACATAATAAAGGTGATGATTTGAACCTTTCTTGGAGTGCACAGCACCTTCAAATGCTGCTGCTAACTCGTACTGCTGTTTTATTGATAACTTGCTCTGTTTCAACTCTGATCATGATTTTATTTGGGAAGAGGATCCAGGGTAAAATTAAACAATACCCTTGGGAGCTGTTCCTAATCAAAATTGAACTGTTAACCATTAAACTACAGAGCAACATTGGGGAAGGCCAGTGTTAATATTACTGAAGTTTCAAATGTGAAAATCAAAAGAGAAAGGCTAAAAGGGTTGAGGGAAGGGAGAAAGGTTTAACCTCTGCCTTCTTGCCTGCCCCCCTACTAGCACAGTTTCCACATCACCATTGTGAAGCAACCACATTATTGGGCTTTTGGGACATCTGGAGTCCCACCTGTGAGATGAACTATTTGCTGTGATTCTGGTGCCTTTTTCCCTGTGTAAGTCGCCTGTCAAACATGTTTCTTTCAGAATATGTTCAAACCAATCAACTATATCTCAAACTCGTGTTCCCTTAAACCAGCAAGCCATTGATTACACTTCTCAGTTTTTCCTATAGCCTACTTTACAGTCCTTCATTATACTATCTGCTTAAAGCCATAAATTCTCAGTTTTAGAGATTTTTTTTTTCCTCCTTTTCTTTTTTTCTATCTACTGTTTGTGCCTAGTACTTGCTTGGCATAAATAAGAGCAGTGAGGAGGCCAGTGTATGACCCACGTGTCTGTCTTCTTTGCCAGGATAAAACCTCAGTCTCAAACCTGGAAATATTTCTCAGATTGTTTTTCCCATACCACCCACATCTTTTTTCCACAAGAGGAAGCTGCTTATGTTGAATGCTGTGGGAACCTAATTGTTACTTTATCGCACAGTGAGGAAAAAAACTGCTAATTAAACAACATGCCTTTCCAAAACCAGATGATACTTTCATTTTCTAGAAAGAGGAAGCTTAATGTAAAATCCCTTCGTCTCTGCCTGGTGAAACCAGATGAATTGCTAAGAAGTTTTGTAATTTCATTTGCATAAGCCTTTTTCTAGCTACTTTGAAGAAAGTTCAAAGCTGACTGTTTGGTTATTTGCCACTCAGCAGCAGGAATGCTGGCTTTTCATTTCCTCTGTGTTTGAGTACCAGGAGGCGTAAAACTGTTCATCTGCATGTGATAATGCAGTTCCCTTATTTGCATCTTCCTTTTTTTTTTTTTTTAAGGAGAGCCCAGGTTGGTGCAGGAGTCTTGAGTGTGAGTTTGACTCCAGGGGAGTCCAAATGGACTGCCTTACCAGCTTCAGTAGGCTGGTGGGAGGCAGAGGTTGTTCACCAGCACAGAGCAGTGTTTCAGCAGCTTGGGGCAGATGTGAAGGATGTTCGTCTAAACATAAGTTTGAGCAATATGCCTGAAATCTCATCTTGGCTATATCAGTAGCCCAGCTGCTTTGTTTCTGTGCCTTGTGTTCCTCTTACCCTGTGAGATCTGGTTCCTCATAAGGCATAGACCTACTGCGTCTTCTTGAGATCTGCTGGCTGAATAACAGGTTCGTCTTTCCACAGTCACAGGCTTTGTGGTGTCTAGGGGCTGCTGCTCACCTAGATATCATTCGTGGAAACTTCACTTCTCTCAACTCTGTAATTAATGAAGCAGTTGTTAGTCTCACAAAAAAACCCCCAAAAACCCGGAAACAAATCAAACAAAAACCCAAACAAAAAAAAAAACAACAAACAAAAATAAACAAATGAAAACACCACAACCAACCACGAATGTGCCAGAACTTTGAGATGTGCTTTGTTAGGAAAAACCTTGTCCCATCTCAGGCTGAGATGACATGCAGCCCCAGCTGCATTGCTATTTTTACAAAGAAAATGAGAATAGGAGGGTGATTTTGAAGAAGAGGTGGGATGATCATCAGTTGATGCCACTTGCTTTGTGCTGGTGTAAGACTACAGGGAGCCATGGGAGCTCTTAGTCTGCACAACAGCAAGTGTCTTGTATGGTCTACTTTGCTTAACCAAAAGAGAAAATCTCTCTTGAAACAGGTTGATGAAAATGCAGCAGCATCCCATGTGGAGGCTTTTAATGGCATTTTAATTTCTTAATGAGTGAAGCCCGTTTTACTGGATAAGTATATCCAAATTGGATGATAATGTCATTTAGTTAATCTACATTAGTTTAGGGAAATGGAACCACATCTTTTTAGTTTCTCAATCCCTGCATTGATGTGTCCTCTGCTTTAGCTCTCTACTCGTCTTGTACATGTTCACTTTGCCCTTCGTGCTCAGTCTCTCTAGCTGAGATCTGTTTGATGGGCTTACTCTGCACACTACATGTTTATTCTCTTTCCTTCAGTTTGCCTTTTCTAACAACAAAGCATAAATCTGGAATTGTTCATTACAGGACAGATGCCTCACTAAGAATTCATCTGAGGCTGGACCCACAAATGGTTGTAACATGTGTCTGTGGCTAGCCAGGGTTGCTGCTTGATATATATTTTAGCTGTGATTTTTTTCATTGGAGATACCTGACTGAGGATACTGAGGCCTTCAGGCAACACTGAAGCCCTAAACCCATAGCAAAAATAAAGGTTCCAGTCCTCTTCAGCTACTAAGCAAGCATGCTAATTAGGAGCATTTGTGAGGTGGTTCCCTCTTATGCAGTCTGCCTTTGCAGAAGGACAGAAACTCCTTCTGTACTCTTTGGCTGATGTGTACTGTGTTTCATTTATAGTCTGGGACACCTAAGCAATGTTCATTACTCATGCATTCCTTTTTTCTCTATTAGGTTATGGAAGATCTTTTCAAGACAGTGACAAGCACTGTGCTCTCCAGATGTCCTCGTGATGTTGAGCTTTTTCATAAATACATAGCTCCTGAACAGAAGGTAATGCATGTGACAGGAAAGAACTGCAATCCTGTCATGTGTTTTGGGGGTTCTTGGCTATAGGAAGGCTTAATTTTAATTTTTTTTTTTTCTTACTGTGTTGTCCTGTGTTAAGAAACTGTGAAAAGCTAAATATCATCTTGAGCTTAAGTAATTATGCAGGCCAACAGAGAGAGGACACACAACTTTCTCTAGCTGGTAACAAGTATGGTAGAACTGTAGTTGTCACTTCACCTCTGAATCATCTCTGAATCATTAGCTTCAATAATTGGGTATCCTTTTAGCACTGAATGGCCAGGATTTTGACCCAAAGCTAGATCAGAATGCAGTCCTACAAATTACAATATAGAGGGAGGCCACTTTGCTGAGTTTGCCCCTGAACCCTAAAGGGTAGCTTTACATGTTTATGTTTTTCTTGTTTTGACCAAGGGCAGGTTGGAACAAATACTGAAGCACAAATTTATGATGTAAGTACTATTTCAAAATGATCTTGCAGAGGGCTTTTGGGGAAAGAGTTCCTATTTTGCATATGTTCTTTTTCTTTCACAACTCAATGTCTTCTGGGTTAGTGTAATGTCTCCGAAAAAGCATGAGTTGCAGCTCCCTTTTACTGTTTGTCAGGTATACCCTTTCAGCTCTGCATGAGACTGACATCTGAATCTGCTGGCCTTTGGCTTTTGCTCCCCTGGACAAGATCCTCAAAAGTATTCTCCTTCCAGCATGTACCTGCACAGTGGTTGCTCACAGTCTTGCTTGGTTTTGGCTTTGATGCTCTGCTTTCATTCACACTTTCACTCCAATGGCTCTCTCTTTATGAAAGTATTTTGTGATATTTAACAATCCCGATTGGTTTTCTATTCCCAATTGATTGTGTAGCTACTAATCACAGTTCTCTTTGTGCTAAAGAACTGAAGTGTTTGGGCTTCCCTCACTGGCCCCCAAGAGTGCCACCTTGTCCCTACTCCTGCTTGTCTTTTCAAATGGTGGAGCTCTCCATTTATCCCACAGAACATTGTAGGGCTGCTCATCCCAGTACTGGTTATCTTGTTAAGCAACTACAGCCACACCAGGGCAACAGGATCATGATGGATTTCCCCCTGTGCCTCTGGCTGCATGAGCACCATGGGAGTCCTCAGTGAAGTTGCCATCTCCCCATTTCAGTCCTCTCTTCGGACCTAACTGATGCTCCTGAAAAGACAAAGTTGTACTCAGCTTCTCTCATGCTCCAAGGAAAAGGAAAGAGAGACAGACCATCTCTTTATCCCTCTCTGTCTCTCTCTTTGTCAGCTGCTGGCAGATCTGGTGCATCCCTGGCTTACACACCTTGGTTACAGGTGTTGAATCTGTGCTAGTGATATACCTCATTTGGCCTGTGGCCTCACATAACCCAAATATGTGGAGCAATATATTCCTTCTTGAGGTATTTCCTCCAAGCCTTCCCTGGTTTAGTGAAACCTTGTAATGGGGTGTAAAGAGTTTGTACTCCTTAGGGAATTTGGTTTTTAATTGGATTAGCCAGTGATACAAAGATGAAATTATTGTTACTGTGTTATTCTTTCTTCTCTCTGTCCACAATATTTGGCTTTGTATCTGGAAAACTTGGCTGCCACGTTATCTTCCACTGAGTCTTGATTTCCAGTTACCAAACCTGTAGCATTGTTCACTGCACTTTTTCTGTTTGCTTTGCCATGATGCTGTTCTTTTGTGCTGGTGGAAATTGGTGGAGAATCTGCTCTGAAATCTGCCAGAGAAGTAGAGAAACATTGCTGCACATAACTCTCAGGGTTTTTGCAAAATAAAGCGGAAACATTTGAGCTACAAGCCCTTTGCACCCTGGACTGTTATTTTTGCCTAACACACCCTGGACTAGAACTATGTTGTTGTAGCTATGCTGATGAGGACATATTGTTCTCTTTTAAAAAAATCCACAAATTTCTATTAAGCAATTCCCTGCAGAGCTCACTTCTGACTAAAATGCAATATTGCAATAGTGCAGAAGTGTTGAGAGCTTAGTACTTCCTGCCCTGCATGTAGCTGAAGCACAGGAAAACATAGGATTCTTGCCATATAAGATGCATTTTGGATTCTGTCCAAAGAAGCTGGGAAGTCTGACATTACACACAAGTTGGCATGGTGGTGGGGAAATGCCTCCTTAATTTTCCAGCATGCCACTTAGCCAGAAAACTTTGTTATTCCTTTCATAGTTATCTTAAAGACTTTTTTCTTCCTCTTGCAGAATTTCCTACAGTGAAGCAGTGGAAATTTTGAAGCAAGCTCCTCAAACTTTCACTTTCAAGCCAGAGGTAGGTTTTTGCCAGCTGGTTTGTCCCTATGCAGAGCCTGAACTTTAGAGAATCTCCTTTATTCTCTCTCTCTCTGATACCACAAGAGTTGTTACTTTAAACAGATTATCTGCCTTCTGGGGTGTTCTGTTTGCTGGGTTGTAAATCCGGTGTAACTTTTGCCCTCTGGGGTTGAAATGGGAGCAATACAAGGAGCGAGATCTGTAGTGGGAGCACATGCAACACTTGCAGGGGAAGGAAGTGATGAGATTGCAGTTGAAGGATCAAGGCTTTAGCAAAGACACTTCTCTTTCCTGTATGTGAGTAGTGCTGAGAATGTTGCAGATTCAGTAGCAATCATCTAAGAAGAGTTGCTGTAATAGTTCTCAAGAAAATGAAAGATAAGAGGAGAGCACTGTAAATTTGACAAAGATTAATAAATCCATACCATGTGAAAATACCATGTAATCTAGATGTAGGTAAAGGGAAGCCCTTGTTTTTCCAAAGCAAAGATGTTGACTGGGAAAAAGAGTAACATGCTAGTCTTTCCAAAGCTATGAGATTACGGTTTCCTAAAAATCATATTTTGCCCAATTTCAAACACACACCCACTCCAGTATGGGACAGCCTTTGTGGTGGTGCTCGCCTTACATCTTGTTGTGTTTAGGCATTATCACATTATGATACTTTGAGGAAAACAACCCTCTGGATGAAGCCACCGTCACAGCCAGTTGGGTAACTGTCTCATCTCTGTGCACAAGTGGAGATAGATTGATCTGAGACAGCAAACTTGGGATATTTTAGTATGAAGAGAGTCTGGGGGAGGTGTGTTCCCCTCTTCCCCTTCCATTCCCCCAATATTCTTTGCACATCCTATGAACAGACTGGGGGGCTCAAGTCAAAAGCTACAGGATTTATAACATCCCTGGAAAAAAGGAAAATTGAAGGGCATCACAAATGTCCAACGTTTCTGATAACAAAAAATTGGTTAATAGAGTGCTAGGTTTTCTTAAGTTAGAATTAATGTAGCATGTAACAGAACACAGCAAGGAAGAGAGTAATCAGCCTAGGAAAGCTGCTGTCTATACACCAAAGGTAATACTGAAATAAGGCTGGTTTACTGGATCAAGTAAGCTGGCTTTGGAGAGGTGCCTGTTTTCTTTTAGATATGCAGAGCGTGGTTTGGGATTTTTGGGGTTGGATTTTTTTTCTTGTTTTGGGTTTTTTCTGATTTGATACCACATGCTTGGGCTTGATACAGGGATGATCTGGCCCTGTTCTATTCAGTTAAATCATATTATTTTACATAGTTTTCTCTACCTGTAAACTGTCTACTTCCCAGCAACCTGTATGAGAAGTTGCTTTGCTTGGTTTCATGTTATTCAAAGCAGCTCATCTCTCTACGTACAGGGATTTTGCTGGGTCTCTTGCCATGGGCAAGAGGCTCCAAAGCAGATTCCCAGGCCCCTTTTGCTGTCCTTACAGTGGGGCTGTGACCTCCAAACAGAACATGAGAAGTACCTGGTGAAGCACTGTGGGGAGGTTCCTGTGTTTGTCATTAACTACCCATACAACCTCAAACCTTTCTACATGCGGGACAATGAAGATGGACCTCAACACACAGTGAGTCCATAGGTCACTTTTTTTTGTCTAGGAACATGTCTTGGCCTCCTGATAGACATCATCTTCTGGGCCTGCCCTTAAGAAGTTCAAGATAAGATATGACCATTAAGTGATCCTGTCCATTTTTTCTCCTGTTGTAGAAAAAGTACCCAAAGCGGGAACAGGAGGAGGAGGAAGATTTGGGAGTTGGGACAGTGTTAACTTGTTGCTTAATTGCCTTAAGACAAGTTTGCCATAGTTTATTTCTTTTCCTGGTAAACGTCTGTACTGTTAAGTGAAAGGCCTAGAATTGGATGGCTCCAAGTAGTCTATGATTCTCTTGTCATCGAAATGTAGCATCCATGTAATGCTCAAATACCAGATGGGCACAAAAAATAAGCTCTTTATCAAGTCTCATGCCTTGAAATCGTGATTTCTCAACTGAATTGAGGCAACCTGAAGCATTGCTTCTGCTAAAAAGAGCAACACCACCACCATGTACTACTGTGTCTTCAGTGGCTTTAATTCTAGCAACATTTCAGCTGTGGGATAAGAAAAATAGTCCTAGAAGACAAACCAGAGAAGACAGACAGCCCAAACCTAACAGCCTAAATGGTAACACTTGGATCCTAACTCTTGAATCCAGCACGTGAGTGCCATTGCTACCGTATCCATTAGAGCTGGCTCAAGGAATGGGGATAGATAGGGCTGAACACAAGCTTACAGCATCAGAGCAGGGAATCAGGGCTTCAGGAAACTTGCCCATATGTCTTTGCTGTCTTCTGAGCTGCTGTTTGGTTCTTTATAAGCCCACACAGGTTGTCGTCAGAGTAACTTGGTGAGATTCAGTTCAAACCACTTGCAGTAGATGTCCTCAGTCTGGAACATCACTGCTATAATTTAGGTTTTCTGTAAATTACTGATGTTTATCCCTGCAAAATTTCCTCCCAGCCTTCTCCTGTCAACAAGACTTTTCAAGTATGTGCAAATCCTTACCTAAGTGTCCTGGATTCTGGAAGAATTACAGTAGGATTTTACAAAAAACCATCATTGTCAGCTGTTCTTCTGCTAATCACTTTGTGACTATGTGGCATGATTTAAATTCGTTTTCTTTCTTTGAAGGTTGCAGCTGTTGATCTCCTTGTACCAGGGGTAGGGGAGTTGTGTGGAGGCAGCTTGAGAGAGGAGCGACTGCCCTTCCTCGAATCGCGCTTACAGAGGTATGGAAAATCCACAGATGGCAGGAGACTTGCCTGAGCAGGAGAGTGTTTCAGCAGCTCTCTGTGGCTGGCAAGACAGAGGAGTGGAAGGGCAGCTAACAGTATTTAAAAGAAGTCTGGTTTTGTCTTTATGATGTCTATTTATCTGAACAGGTGACTGCAAACTGGTGAAGAAGTTCTTATGCTTCTGTCATAGGTGTGCAAAGCGCCTCTCTGTTTTAGCCCATCAGAGAAGGAAAGTTTTCTTTATGCTAAGGGACCAGGGCAGCAGAGTGCCTCAGCTCTGCTGCAACTGTCTGGAGCAGGGTCTGCTGTGGGACACTTCATCCTTTTCTTCAGTTTTTGTGGCTGAAAGTGGATTGTGAAGGTGGAAGTTGTCACATATACAGAACTTAAATATCTATTTGTCATCACGTTTGTAATGAGGAATTGCAGTTTTGGTCAGAAGCTTTGCCAGTTGTGATGCATCTGGCCTCAGTGACTGGCCTGATTTCAGAGAATATCTTTGCAAATAGTTTGATGGGAAGCTTCACTGGAACTGCTGAAGACCTGTACTGTGTCATGGAATCTCCTCTTTCCCTGGCTGCCTTGGTCTGCATCTTGTTACTTTTGGTAATTTTAGGCTAACTTCAATGTCACAATTTTGACGTTGCTTTTTAATTAATAATTGATGATATACATTGGGTAGCTCTCCATAGACAGTTGTTCTCTGGATCCTGTCTGATTGTTCAAAAATTTTGTAGAATCAGAGAATGGTTTGGGTTGGAAAGTACCTTAAAGACCATCTAGTTCCAACCCTGCTGCCATGGGCAGGGACACCTTCCAGGTTGTGCAAAGTCCTGTCCAGCACTTGAACACTTCTGTTTGGGCCAGTCATACACTTGTGCAAAGCAATGTTGGAGGAAGGTTAATCCCAGAGTAACACCATTTACACATTGGGAATTAGTTTGTTGCTTAAATCAGCCACATGCTCAAACAGATATATCTAGTCAGTGGAGAAGAGCAAAATCTACTTCAGCATAATGAATCGAAAAGGCACCGGGCAATTAAAATCACCAGAACATTAATTCTCAGTTGTTAATGTTGGATTATGATATTCCCTGTGCTTCCTGCTACTCTCCCTGTAAGCACTCTGAAGCAGGCATGCTTCAACTCATGTAAAGTACAATGTTGCTTGCTGTACTTTTTCAGTCAAAACTTTTTGCCAGTATCTGAGTCCCAGTCCTCAGAAGGGTCCATGTGGAATTTGAAGCCAGACTTTCTTGTTTGTCAGGAAAGTCACAGAAAGCATTTCAAGGTACAAATGGGGTATGTCTTCAGTAAATCACACCTCCTTTCACATGTTTTTCTCCATTTTGAGTCTTCAGGATCTGACTGTGTTAAGCCAAAGTACTTTAGACCTTTAAATTCTATTTCCTGCAGAACCAGCATAATCTTAGAAAGAAAAAACAGGATTCTTGTCTTCTTATGCATGCTTCATACAATAGTTCACCAGGGTTTCCCTTTTCTTGTAGCGTGCTCTTCTAGGCAAGTGCTGCTTGTGCAGAATAACTCTGTTCCTTTACTTACAAGAGGTTTTCTTTTTGTTTCACAGATTAGGACTCACAGATGCCTATCAATGGTAAGATGCCACCTTGCTCTGCAAGCTCTTTTTCTTCTTTTGAGACTATTTAAGCAACTGGGGTTTTGGGGGGTTTTTAAAATTTTGCTTCTGAGGGAGCAATTTTTGGCCCTCTTGCCCTGCCATCACTGCCAGTCTAAATGATATAGCCAATTCATTTAAACAAAGGTTAATCTAATGCTACTTAGTTTATACCTTCAATTTGTCCACTCATGGCACAGGTCATTCCTCTCAGGATTACATGAGGTGGATTAATTTACAACCCATAATGATTTTTGATATTAAATTATTAGACTGTGTTGGAAGTTGGGTAGATCCTGACCACCAAGCACAAGATAAACAGGTTACAGAACCACAGCAATTTGTGACCTTTAAGAGGTCTATGAATAACTCCCTTTGCAATTGACAGGGCAATTGGGTCGAAAAATCTTCTCTAACAAAGCAGTTAAAGCAATTAAAACTGTCCTCTAAGGAGACAGATCAACTTTTGAATTAACAGTTTAACCCATTAAAACGACAGAAGGTTCTTAGTGTTTCTTGGTATGTACTTCATCATAGCTACTGGGAGAGAGGTAGTGCAGAGAATTTCAAATTTAGAAGAGTATTTTCAAATATTCTGCAGTATTTGGATTGATCAATAGGAAGGCTGCCTTGAAAAAAAGCAAAGTATAGGTTCTTCACTCTCTTCCCACAATATGAAATCACTGAGGAACAGCCCAGTGTATGGCAGATCTGCACATCATCCATGTGCGAACAGGGTGAATGAAATTTCTTTCTTTGTTGTTGTATTTGTGGCCCAGAATACACCATATCCCTTTATCTGAGGGAAGGATTATCCTGAGCAAGGGTGATAAGTTGTGTGGTTCGATGCTGAGTTACAGCCTGAGGATGTGTGGTGTTCAATGGCAGAGCTTTCCAGCACTACTGAGATAGTGCAGCCCTGCCTCATGCTTCCCACAAGAAAGGATTAGGAAATTGCTTGTGACCTTTTTGAATTTTCATGTGATGTGTAACGATCACATTCTGGAAACTTCCTGCTGTAATCTTGTTCTGGAGACTCTCTCCTCCTTTATTTCCTCCACTCTATCACAGTCAGTGTAACTTCCTGGAGAAGATTAAAGCTGTTTTTCCCCCTGCCATAGCAGGGTCTGGTGTCCTAAGAAAGTGCAGGATAGTAGTAATTCTAGATGCTTCTGGATTGCAGTCCAAAATCGGCCAGAAAAAGGTAGGTGGCTTGCCAGCATCCATCTTTTTAGTAGAGGTGGCAAGAGAGACTAAAATTAATCTCCTCCAATTTAGTGATGGAATTGAGTCTCCAAAGCTGGCTCACAGACTCCTGGAAGAACAGTTGAGTCATTCTTTTTAAAATACAATATTTGCTGACTTTTGAATGTGATCACCTTTCAAGTTCCTTAACCATTGCCATATCTCTGATTCTGCCAGTTTTCTTCCCCCCAGGCAAGAGGATATTGTCGGGTCTGACTGTTTCTAGCACAGTTTCAGGATTGCCTTGTTCGTGGGTGAATCATAAGGCAAAGGCAACTGAAGATATGAAATACTGCTCTGCTTCTTGCCATTCCTACCTTTTAGGAAGTTTTTCAAAAGATAGATCAAGTGACATGGTCAAACTCTGTAAGTCTTCTTCAGTACACTACATCTTTCCTGTTATGCAAGTTTTTTTCCATATTGAATATGAGTTGGAGTAGTACTTGGCTTGATTTTGTAGTTATTTTATCTTTCTTTCACACTTTTTCCTTTGAATTGTAGATAGAAAATAGCTCAGAGCTGTAGATGATGATCTTGGCCAAACTGAGAGTTCTGTGGAAATAAGCTGGGAAAGTTGAGTGACGAAAGTACTCTAGGAGTTCATTGATTTCCCTGTGACCAGGGAGTATTAGATATATTGCCTTTTAAACAGGGGACTCGATCCTGTGTGCAGCCTCAAAGTGCCATCTTGAAAATAAAAAAGCAGGTACTTTGTAATGATCAATCAATATGTTCCCACAACCATCAGTGTGAGTAGCGTTTCGGACAGTATTCCTACATGTAAGGCACTGCTTTTCTTCCTCTGATTATCCTGTGTGCTTCGGTGGAGACAGCTGTCCCATACTGAACCCTTCACATTCCAAGTACCTTTTTGGTCTTCTGGTAGCACTGGTGAAAGTACACAGTAGCAGAGCAGGTGTTATTTACTGTATTCGAGTGGATGTTACTGTGTTGTTTTGGCCCTGCTGCTGCTCTTGATGAAGAAGATTGAGCTTTTTCATTGAGATTGAGTGTGGGGCTCTTTAACTTCCAGTAATCTTTGAAGCTTGAATGTCAGTGTTCTGTTGAGGCCTCATATGGCAGGGTAAAAAGGAGTTGAGCTTAGGGAAAAGTAGCATTGGTGAGCCACTTGCAGCCCACAGCCAGTGACTACACTCACCTCATCCTTTGACCTTCTTCAGGGCCCAGTAAAACAGGTAGCCCATCACTGTCCTTGGCAGCCACCTGGTCCTATTACTCCTCTTTTGGGAAGAAACTGGAGTGCTATGGGCCAGATGGAGGTAGGCAGAAAGTCAGTCATACATACACACACCCCTAGTAGAATATTCAGTTTCATGGACTATAGTATCTTTGTTCTTCCAGCCTTACTTTTTTCACAGTGGCCACAGAACCTTCAGCATAGCAAGGGGATTGCATAAAAGGTTGCGATTATATTTGTTTTGACAAGAGCCTGAAAAGAACACATTCTGTTTATGAATGGTCACTAGGAGAGTGCTGTTCTCCATAGTGCCTTGCTATGCAACACAAGGAGCTCAAGATGATGATAAAAGAATATAAATCTTTAAAAAGGAAGAACGGAAATGTTCTTCTAACGTGGCATATAATGAGCTCCTGGAATTCATTGCTGGGGGATGTTGTTACAGCACACACTTTAGTAAGATTCAAATCTCTGAAGACCTAGCAGTGCTCAGATCCAGAGCCGGAACACCTGGGCCAGCTGGGGTCACAGAAACTTACTTCCCCTGTGGAATAATGCTTCACAGTCCACCAGTTGCCAATAGAGTGCTCAGCTCCTCTCTTCAGTATGAGCTACTAGAAAAAACAGCTAGACTAGTTCACAATTCTTTTTGAGGTGAGAAACATCTAATGTCTGTAGACTACTGAATGAAGGAAATCCTCAGGGAGCATTTTCCAGCTTAAAGGGATTTTTCCCTTCATCTGCAGGCAGTTGCTTTTTCTTTCATCTGTGAAGAATGGAAAATTTCTCAATTCTTCTTCTTCTATGCACAGTCATCAGAAAAGATTCACAGTCTTGATCCTCAGCACATTTAATTCAATGGACTTTTTCCATTAACTTTGATGGGTTTTGTTTCGCTCCTTTTGCCAAAATGGCTTCTCAAACTGCTTTGAGATCTACAGATCAAAGTCCTGGATAAGCAAGGGTAGAATTTATTATTATTGTTCATCTGGAAGTAGGTGAGTTATTTCATCTTCTTACAATGACTTTATAAACTCTTGCCAGCAAAAAGAGAATATGCTGGGCTTAGTCTCAACTGCCTTTGCAGAGGATGATGCACTTACAGACATCATGAGAAAAGTTTGTGCTGTTGCTTGTATTTCTGGTTACAGCTGAAGTAGTTACCAGCTGCTTTGGCAGTTCTGCTCAGAACTCCTGAGCTGGGTCAGACCAATCTGCCATGGCCAGCACCTGTATCCCTTACATTTATGAGGTCTTCCCTGTTTTCATGAGCCACCATCCTCAGCATCAGGTCTGCCCATCCCTTGCAAACCCATGTGAAGCTGCACAGTGGAGCTCCCCAGGAGCAGTTCCAGGGCATTTGCAGAGACTCAAGTTCTTCTTAATGTAGTCTGTGTAAAGCAGATAGAGATGAAGAACACCATGCTGTTGCACAGCCTGTATGTTCATATCCTGAGCATAATCCTCATCACAAGATGTGAGGTGCATACACCAAGCTTAGTGAGCCAAGCTAACACCCAGCAGCACAGAGAAAAGCATGTGGGTCCCAGTCATCAGAAAACATGTCCCACACTTGGGCCTGCTGTTCAACTTGCAGACTGTACTTTGTGTGTCAGTGCTACTAGAAAGAAGTAAGCTGTGCTTCTCTTTTTGCTATTTGGGCAGTGGAGGGGAGGGGAAAAACACTGGGAAAGAAAAAACCTAAATATTGGTTTGAGTGTAATAAATGGTTTCCCAAATTTTAACTACTGCTAATGAGCTGTAAGGAAAAATAGTGTTTCATGGTAGGAAAGGCATACTGTCAAACTGAGTGACAGGGCAATCTTGCAGCTGTAGAATTTGTCAGAGTACTTGTGTTTTGCAAGTAAGGGTGATCATGGGCATTGCTTTGTCTTCACTCTGTTAAAATACAGTCTTCAAGCCAAAAAAATCTGATGTCCAAGCAACTACACTCAAATATACATACCATGTATTTTACATATTTATGCATATATAAGTATATATACACACAAATATAATATTTTCTTGTAGTTCATTAACAGTATGTAAAATTTCAGAAGCTATTTATTGCAATCAATCCAGTCTTAATTTCTTTGACAGTGTTCTGCCCCCCTCTACTCCACTGCATAAGCAGTAAAACATATGCATTTATATTTAAGTGCACTTGATTTTTTTTTAACTGGGATGATGAAATATTCATACACCAAGATTAGAAGCAAGTAATACATCTGGAGTCACTTAATCCCCTACTAGTGCATTCATATAAGGAAGAGTAACTTGGTGCCCTCAGCAAGCTCAGAAGTGGCCCCACAAATCAATAGATGCACTGAGATGTTTTTCACTTCTATTAAAATAAAACTGTTGGTGACAATTTATAGCTGCAAATACAGTATCATATCAGCCACAGTCTAGCTGGGAAATGGGTGACTGTAGAATAACATCATAATCTTGTTGACACCCATATACTCAGAGTATCTGCTTCCAAACATTTTCTGAGTTTTCTGAGGTGCTGTTCTGCAAAATAAAATATCTTGTTCCACATTTCATTTTTAGAGAAGATATGTTCAAGTTGGGGTTTTTTTCTGGCTTACTATGGAAATAAATGAATCAGTCTGTAAGAGTGACTGGGGATAAAGTAGCAAAAAGCCATCATAATTACCTTAAAAGAAAAAAAAATGAAGGAATGTTGAGCAGACAGACAGCAAGACCTATTTAAACTTATGAAGAAATTACTGGAAAGGAAACAACTTAGGCTATTGAAAAGCAAATAAATTGAAAGAAATTGCAGGACAGATTTCCACACCAACATGGCAAGGGTTAGACAAGCCCAAGCAGAGAGCTTCACCTCCAGCAGTGGAAATGCTTTGTGATTCTGTAGGAACCAGGGCTTTTGCCTCTGCTAGGAATATTTTAGGTACTAAAACTACAAAGGTGTTTTCAATATGAGCAGAGCTATGGTGCTTAAGCTGTTCTTCATACCTAAATACGTTCTTGCTCCTGAAAAACTACACTGTAGTGTATTGGCAAAGCACAGCTAAGCTGGTTTAAATGGGTTTAAACTGAGGTTTCTGCTAATACAATTCTGCATCTTCATACCCCTGACCAACACAGAAATCAGAGTGGTTGGGGTCAAAGGGAAGTAATTAAGATGGAAAGCAAAACCCTAGGCTCACTTTAATGCCGTCAGCATAACCATACTGCAAATGTAACTGTCTGTTTAAATTCCAGGTATCTAGACCTCCGAAAATTTGGATCAGTTCCTCATGGAGGCTTCGGAATGGGGTTTGAACGCTACCTACAGTACATCTTGGGAGTTGACAATATCAAAGATGTTATACCTTTCCCCAGGTTTTCTCACTCCTGTCTCCTGTAGTTCAGCAGTTGACTCACGTGGAGAAAACTGCTGGTGTAACTATGTGTATATAACATACCAGGATATGACTGAGTGTGTTTTAGTGGGAAATCAGGATAATTTTTATATCAATGAAACTCTTGGTTAATTTAATACTGGGTTATTGAAAATAATATATGTTCTGGTGAGATTATGGAAGGACACTGGCAGTTAATTTGATAGCAGCTCATGTCTTCAGTGCACTTCAGGAGTATTAATAAATCCCACTTAAGTAAAGGGTTACAATTCTCATGAGACTAGTACAAGCCATGGAAATACTGGAGAAGCACTGAAGGTAGCAGGGGGTTTTATGTGAAATATTAATAAGGAAGTGTGACCTAAAATATTGTCATGGCTTTGATACACTTGCTACTGCTACAGTCAGGAAATGGCTACTGTAAAGCATGATTCTCCCCACTCTGAGTTAAAAGCAAATATTGTTTACCTTGGAAAAACCAGCCAAACCTAGCAAGGAACAATGTCATATTGGAATTGCTGGAGTGAGTTTGTTGAATGATGTTTGATTTTGTGAATCATCAATAAAGATGTACACTGGGTTGTTTTATAACTACGTATGGTTTCCTCTTCTGTTGTAAAACTGTAGCTCTCAGCATGAGAGAATTTTCTTCAGTGTCTTTGATAAAGGTTTCATCTTCTGTATAACCAAATTAGTTGCACAATTTCTGCAGAAGGTACCTGTTTTCTGTCTACAAAAAAGCAGATATTCATAGCAGCCAGAAATGTTCAGTTAGATGAGAGTTCATCCATCCATCCATCCATCCATCCATCCATCCATCCATCCATCCATCCATTCATCTCTCCAGAGCCAACCTGCAGTTCATGGTGGAGTTTTGTTGTTGCTTTACTTTACTATTGCGCTCATGTGCTCAGACCAAGCAGTTTGGTCTGTATTGCAAAACAACCAACAGAATGCTCCCAAGCATTGCTATGTATTAAGTAATTGCTTATCACTATAGGATCTGAAATCTTTGGCAGTCTGTAATGGGTTCATGCTCTCAGCTTCTCTGCCAGGTAAAGAAATACTCATTTCTGTTTTGAAGACAGTATTATGGGAAGTGATTTGCCTAAGGGAACTGGAAACCAGTGATTTATTTGGGACTTGACCTGAGGGTTTCCAGCATCCTTCTTCCCTTCCAAATTATCACAATCCAGCAAATGATAATTTGCATAGTGCTTGCTACTCCGGAGCCCACTAGGGCTGGAGTATAAACAATGTACATAAAGAGAAAAAGCAAGGTAGTGGCCTTACTGCTGATGTATATTGGCACACACTACACTGCAGGACAGCCCTGAAAACTTATTTTCTAAGTAGATGTAAGAGATTGAAAAATAGCAATTATCTAGCATTGCACTGGTAATACTGCAGTCACAGTTCTCTCTGGTAAGGCCTGTGCAGTACTGCACCTGCAGCATCTAAAAATACCGTTTATGTCGTGTGGCACCTGCCATGTCTCGGTCTGCTCCATGGCTGGGGTTTTTACCTGTTATGATCATGCAAGCAACATCACCATGAGGTCATTACTCTGGGGGGTTTCTTGTTTGCACTGAGACATCTCCTGCATATCAAGACTTTCTCATGTCTCCTTCATCCACTTGATTAGGCAGGTGTTAATTGTGCGTTTGCTGGTTTGCATTTCCCAGTACAGTCCTGAGTTGGCAAGTCTGGTTCCACAAAACAGTTAGAGCACCTGCCTTCCCTTTGAAACCACTGAGAAGTTCCCACATCAGACACTCAAGTATCTTCCTGCATTTGGACCATCTCTCCTTTAGTTTAGTTATCTTAAGTGTTATTGCTGGCCTTTATGTTTTGGAATTACTTCTCTGCAGAAAGAAGTGGAAAGAGTACAGCTGCCAAACAGCCCCATCCACAGCGTGTTCCCTAAATGACTTGCAATGAGCAGGTGTCCTTATTGAGATCCTTAGTCACTGATTCTGTCACAGTCACTGTAAATGAGAGTGCCTGAACTGGAAGCTCATCTTCTGAGAACAGAGTGGGGTGATGGCAAAACATCTCCTGTCCACTTTGCTGTCAATTCCCAGCAGCAGATCTGGGCTGCCTGTTTGTTCGTTTTGGCATCAGAGGGAGGTTGTTGATCCTGCTCTGAGATGCCAGATCTGATTGGCAAGGTGGAGCTAAATAGCAACAGGTGAAAAACAAGATATAAAAAAGAAGACAATGGAAGGTGCCAAAAAATTCTAGGTTAATGTGGCATGAGTCACAAGTTACAGGGAAGGACACAACTGCTTCAAACAGGTTTGCAGAGTGGCTGGCTGTCAGGGTGACACGGCAAGAACAAAGAACTGGTCTAATCCACCTTTGCCCTTTTCAGAGGTTGTTGCAGGACTGAAGGTAAAGGTTGAACCTTTGATTTGCAGAGAGGTAGATGTAAGTAAGAAAGAAGCAATAAGGATGCACTGTGGGAGGCTTTTTGTGCGTTTCCAACCAAGTGTCCATGAGGAGCAGTCTCCCCAGTCTTCCACATGTCCTGGTTCATTTCAAGGTGCTTGATGAGCTGGGTATCCAGTGAGCTAAGGGGACACTGCCCTTGGGTCTGAAAACTCGAGAAAACTGCCCCCCAGTAATTTGGCAGATGAAGCAGGAGCTGAGCAGGGTTGTACCAAGAGAGGTAACCAGATGACTCAGAAGGGGAAGGAAAGGTTGTCTAGTCTTGGTAACAGCCTTCAGCATGTGCTGGTTTTGCTAGTGGTGAGAGAGAGAAGAGGCCAAGGCCCTGTGCATTATGATACTGCTCAAGGTTAACACTGAGACTGGCATTCTTGAGAGGAACTTAATTTATGGGTAGCCAGCAAGGGTGGGAGCCACTGTTTCCCTCCAGGCTGGCATTGTTCACCTCGTGCTATGTGTATATAACATGGACTGGTATTGCCAAGGAATGTGACATGTTTTTTCTGGGATTTCCATGTGGAATGTCATGTATTTCCTTTGAATCTCCCTCCCTAGAATGAAACGGAAGGTAATCTGGAGGACGGGGAGTTCATTTCTCTTGGACATGTAAGCAGGGAAATGCACCAAGATTTTCTTAACTTAAGCAGCTTTCCTTGCTACATCTTCTCTCAGAGTCTGCACCCTGACAGTGACTAATGCCAGATAAAAACTGTGATACTTCTTCAAATAAAAAGCTGTTACTCTTTGCACACAGGAATCACCTCTTAGGCTGACCATGCAGTGCAGTAGCTGATACTGAAATGTTTTTAGTGTCATAAGCAGTCAGCTCTCAAGCCCAGGTGACCAGCACTGTCTCAACTAGCATCATTTTGGTACGTATTTTTTGAAGTTTCAGTTCCTCAGCAGCCTATGCTTGCCTCTTTTCAAGTTTGTCCTCACTTTGAGCTTAAGAGGAAAGAATAAGTGTCATTGATTACTGTGTCAGTAGCTTTGCAATATTAGAACTGAGTGATGGGAGATAAAAGAGCTACACCATAAACTTTGCATAACTAAATGCCAGCCTCTCAGAAGAGTGTTTAGAGGAAAATGTCTGGTTTTTCACTTCAAGAATGTCAGATAATCCCTTCACTTAATTTTATAATGCGTAAGATCAAAGTATCCCAAAGTACTCTATTTTTAATTGAAAAAATAATACCTGCAGAACTAACACTCTGTTTCAGTCTTCTCATTTTTAAATCCACAGGAGAGCAAACGCACACTGGGAAGCTAGGAGCAGAGATTGCTCTTCTGTCCTTTATGATTTATGTTGTGATACTATGGCAGTGTTCAGATCCTGGACTGTTGTACCTTCTGTATAAGCAGAGACAAAAACATGGGCCAAATGTTTAAAAGTCGGCAGACCAGCACAGGATTTAGCTGAATTTACCTGCATTCAGGGCCCCAGACCTGAGGGAAACGCAGCAAGGTGCCCAGCTCAGCAACTCTCTCTGGTTTATTTGGTGGTAGTTGTCATTTATAAAACATCACTTTTTTGGGGGAATGCCAAGACTTTGATGGGAAACATAAAGTACAGTTTTGCTTGCTAGACTAATATTGATTGTTTTGGGAATAGCTTATAGATGTGTTTTTCCTCAGGGGGTGAAGGGGACTAATTTGCCAAGAAACACTTTTGCCATTGTTTCCATTAAATGTGTGTATAGAGATAAACATGGTCTTGCTATTGCTGAAACCAGTAACAGCCATTATGATTGTTGTTTTAGCCTTTACCTTACACTTAGGTACAAGTAAGAGATGGGTCCAAAGGAGAAATAAGACTTTGTATAAAGATTGACAGAGTTCTAATTTCCTCAGATCTAACCAGAGCTGCCAAAGCCACAAAAACGGTGGTCCCGGGGGTGAATTTATTGTTTTGTCTTACTGTTTGTTGCAGAGCCATGACCTTCAGAAGGGTTGTAAAGTTTTATTTTATGATCCTGCTGATAAAGAGACATATGTAATTTACTATACGAGTTCTTACAGACTTGTCTAACAAGAAGTTTGACCCAGAGTTCAGAGAAATTATGGCTCCCGTTGTTTTATGGCTGCTGTGCTGCAGTGTCTGCTGCTCAAGGTGTATGGAAAAAGATGCTGTAAAGGGAGAGCTTTCATGTAAAGGGCGAGAGAGGGACAAGACTGTGTGGCCATTTAAAAGTCATGTACCAGCTACATCAGAAATTGTAGGCTCTATTGTGAGTGAAATACAGATGAAATTACTTTAGAATCCATGTTGCTCTTATTGCTGACACTATTTTACTGCAGGAAATTGAGGCACAGAGCAATTAATATGCTCGCCCAAGGTTATGGAAGATGTGTGGCAGAAGCATGGAACTGACCCAAATCAACCAAATCCCTGCTTGGCGCCTGCTCACGAGACTTCCCTGTGTTTGCCTTTGGGTGTACTGCCACACCAGCAGCAAGGCAGGATGTTTGCAACTGATTTGGTTTCAAACGCATTTTTGGCATTTCTAAGATCCTAGACTGTGCTTCAGTGATTTTTATCTATTCTTGTATGTCCCGGGGCCTTTCAGAGATAGCAATCCTGCTGTTTATTTTTATTACTCTTACAATTGATTTTTTTTTCTGAATAATTTGAGGCGGCCAACAGAGTAGATTTTTAATTTTCTTTGCAAGGCTTGATCTTGCTCTTTGCTCTTCATTAATATCTGTGTATCTTACTGTCTTCAGCAGGTTAATGTACTGATATTTGTGCTGAAAAAATTGAGTTCAGAGTTTTTAGAAGTCACTGATCATACAGGTTGCTGGCAAAAAAGTATGGAAACTGCTCAGAAAGAAATCAACGTGGTCTGGTAGGGGGCCTTGGTAATCATGTAAATATTTAAGTTTCAGTATGGGACTATTCCCTATTATCTGCTATGCCTTCAAAAAGAGGCTAGATTTCCAATGGGAAACAATTATATTTCACTGGCACAATGTTTTTTAGTAATACTTCTAAGATGTCTTTACCTTCAAAGTGATTTTTGAGCAATAATTCCAGTATCTTTGATGGCCCTTTGAGGAGCCTGGACTCTCTGTGCCCAGTACTGTGGTTAAGCTGTGTGAAGCAGGCATATGATCCATATTTTCCTGAGACACAGGTCTCCCA